TCCTGTACCTGAACACCCTGGGACAGTGCACTGGGGCCTGAGCTTTAACCACCTTCCTGTACCTGAACACCCTGGGACAGTGCACTGGGGCCTGATCTTCAACCACCTTCCTGTACCTGAACACTCTGGGACACTGGGACTAGATCTCTAACCACCTTCCTGTACCTGAACACTCTGGGGCACTGGGACTAGATCTCTAACCACCTTCCTGTACCTGAACACTCTGGGACACTGGGACTAGATCTTTCACCACCTTCCTGTACCTTCTTAAGTCTCCTCTCCAGGTGTCACTTTTAGACACTGTAATGTTTTGCTTGTTGCAGATCATTTTTTAGTGTTATGTTGAACTCTAAACTTTGTTTTACACCACTTGATACGTTGATACTTTTATATCATTACGGTCTACAGCTCAGTAGTTTCTTGAACGCGGGTCTCCTTCTATAAACACAATAACAAATAATCTTAAAATAATATGTAAATACATTATATTATTCCTTGTACGCTATAAAACGCTCTTTAGCCATTCAATGGCATATTGTTTGCCTGAGTTAGCATTTATTCTGACTGATAAATTCATAATGTCTACAGTGTAAGGTCATAAATAGAAAAGTTTAAGTGGCTGTACACACATCTTGCCACCTGTTAAATAAAATTGGAGAAACATTCAGATTCTTAGTGGTCTCAGTTTACTATTTGTATAGATTTGTACAGATTCCCAGGGGTTAAGGAGAAGGTCAAGGTTTAACCTCAATCTCCTCTGAACCTCTACATTTAAATATCTCACCTTCTGAGCAGCCCTTTGTGCATCTTTCCTCACACGTCTTCACCCTTGTTGCGGCTCCCTGGCTCATTCCTCAGGATACAAGGCGGGTCCTGTCAGCTTTGTCCTTACCATCAGGTTGCCCTTTCCTCAGCCAGATGAGTGATGTCAGATTTACTTTAAACACACTATCAACTTTGTTGCATTAGAGTTTGACCAAACTGTTGAAACAAGAACACAAGGAAGGTGATACTGCAGCCTTTGCCTCTGGTGACACTAATGAATGTCTCTAATTGTTCCTGTGTGCTTGGTGGTGCGTGCCCTGTGACGGGCTGATGTCCTGTCCAGGGAGTAGTTCCACCTTGTGCCATATGCTTCCTGGATGGACTGCAGATTGCAGAAGCTTTCGGATAAGTGGGTGAACTCACTCTGACCACAAGATGGCAATGTTGCCTTTGCCGCCGTTATACTGCAGTGCACTAAACCAAACCATTCCATCAGCAATCCAGAAACACAGAACTGCCACTCCATCAAATTTATAAATGCACGCACACATAGAAAAGTATACGCAAGAACATAAACACACAAAACGCACAGAACTGATACACACTAACATTTCTAAACTTCTCTTGCCCAGTGAGCCTGGGACTAAGCTTTATATGATATTTCCTTTCCTAAAAGCTGGATCTCTATCTCCCTACAGAGATATTCTAAAACACAGCATTCCTGAACTGCCGTGTTACTCATCTAGGTACAGCGTGCAAGAGGAGGAATATAATACTTGCAGAATGGAGCATGTGGTAGTGTTCAGCTTTCCTTGTGCTTCGCTGGGGTCACCAGATTGTAATCACCCGGAAAAACATGGTTCCAGTTTAGAGCCCAAATGAACATCATGTGTGGAAGTATAAGGTATTCATAAATAGAGAAAATGCCTGGAAGGTTATAAAGGGTGTTGTACTGAATAAAACGGTATGCTGAAAGAAAACTGAAACGGAGCATATTTGTCCAGTTATCCCAGAGATATTTACATGCCTCCTTGTTCCGTTTATTTAGTGTATATATAGTATATGGAACTCCAGATTGCCCCAAACACAAAAAAGGGCATGACAACTGCTGGTGGAGACAATGACGGATGTCTTAACTTCCCAGTTCTCATCTAGCATTACATCATGCACTCTGAAAAGAGATATTTCTGCAGGTTGGCGGCACAGTGGCGCGGAGAGATGCATCGGTACCCTGTAAAAGCTGGGTACTCCTGTGTCCTCCCAGAGCTGAAAGACGTACTGGAGGTTCACTGGCTTCAGGGAAAGCTGGCCCCGGTGTGAGTGAGTGTGGCCGTGTTTTGTGTCCGTGTGTGCTCTGTGATGAGTGGGTGTCTCGCCCAGGGTGTACCCCGCCCTGTGCCTGCTGCTGACTGCGATAGACTCCGGCTCCCAAGGAACCCTTAATTGGATGGATTTCTGCACATTTTCACGAAAAAGTAAATCTACTAGCTGCCTCAGTTGCTTTAAGATTTCAGGTGTTATTTTCACAATATTAAGTTCAATTTCACATGACTCATGAGGGTACATTACATTCCTCTGGTAGCAAATGCAAAACGGTTGGCAGCACAGTACAGAATGCACCACTAGATCTGATGTAAAGCCTCTGACTCCTGCAAGCCATTGAAGAGGCTTAGCTTTGAAAGTAGCAGCTGCCTACAGGAGTCCAATGGGCTGGACAACATCATTATGGACAGCAGCATTACCTGACTCATGTTTCAGGCCCTTCTGCAGCGGTCCCATCGGAGCCAGCTCTTTGTGCAATTCTGTATCTGTAACCCTCACCCTAACCCTTAAAACGGACCAGGATATTATTGCCTGCTTCCTGTGATACATTAATATCCAATAAATATATTTAAATGGGGGCACTGATGCACTGAGGCAGTAGGTCTGTATAGCAGATGTATGTGTTTTTAGGTGTCAAAACTGGTGATGAAAAGGCTGCTATTTGCATTTCCCTTGCATAGTGGAGAGTCTTGTCAATGGCATCATCAATCATCATTCATATAAATAGCAGTGTTTTCTCCTAACCAGTACGAAGAAACAAAAGGAAAAAATAATCTGGGTTCTACTTTATATGTCAGAGACAGGTTGGCTTTGATTAGCTTGAACTGTTCAGTCATGGGGCTAGAAAATAGTGCGATGATCATTTGCTAAAATGTAGACGCAAACATTTTGAATTTATTTTCATTTCATAATTGCTGAACTATGCAATGCTTTGATAAATTTACAACAGTACCAAATTCTTATAACATAATTTATACATTTCTAAGAATTCCTCAGAATGTTTTCCCATAGCACTCTTTGAAGGAGAGCATTGCAAGTATCGTAAGTTTCATTTTTGTTCTTCAGCCTTTAATCTAATCTCTCAGGTTGAAATATTCAAAATGGTACATCCAGAATTGCCCTCTTATAATGTTTTGCTATCGCATGCTGCAGAAGTTCCAATTATTACCCATTGGCAGCTGACATAAATTTTGCAGTTTCCTGCACTCATAAATTTGTTCTCCGCAGGATTTGAACAGAGCTCAAACATGACACCACATTTTTATCTAGGTGGTCAGAGGCAAGAGGACTTGTAACTCAGGCAAGCAATAACAGAGGGGAAGAAAGTCTTGAAGTAGGCTGTATTTCAAAATATAACCTGTCATCTTATCTGGAACTTGAAGGTGATGGATCGACCCAGGAAACTGAACTGTTCCAGCTGATAAGCCACAAAAGCTGCACTATATCTGATTTCAACAGAATGACTTTCTTTAAAGAATGATCCTTAAACTACAGGCCATTAGTGCAATTCTGACAGTGTGTACCCTTGGTTTTTTTTTAATTTGCGCTTTGTTTAGCCTCTAAGAAATGTTTCAATTCACAGTCCAGTGCACAGAGAGAAGAGTTCTCCATTAACAGTGAAACTGCTTGGAGGGATCAACTCAGGCCACCCATCTCCGAGTTATGAGAAAGCTTATTCTGTATTCTCATTCAGAAAAACAATTAAACAACCTACAGGTACAGTATGTGTATTGAGAAATTTTACAGGT